TCAGAAGGTTACAATTTGGAAATCCTCAAAAGTCACGTCAATAATTCATTATGATAAATTCTACGAGAGCGATAAGGGAAATAGTTGTGTATAAAAGCTGAAGCAGCTCAAGTGAACTCATTCTGAAGTCATTCGGTGAAAAAACATGGCCGCTAAACTCATTCTCTTCGTCTGCGCCACCGCCCTCGTGGCTCAGGTACGTCTTTACAATTAAAACTTACATTTAATGTAAATTGCATTCTAATATTAAAAACTCCATAGAGCAAACAGCTGCTCGCTTTGCCGATATTTCGAATAAGTAGGTACCTAATAATAACATTAATATAATATTTAATTACTTCACATTGTTCACAGTCCGTTTTGGGCATCGGTTGTGGTTGTGGAGGTCGTGGCTACGGGGGTCTGGGCTATGGTGGTCTGGGCTACGGGGGCTATGGAGGTGGGTGCGGTCGTGGTTTCAGCGGTGGTGGTCTCCCTGTAGCTACTGCCTCTGCTGCTCCCACTGGTCTGGGTGTAGCTTCTGAGAACAGGTACGAAGGTACCGTCGGTGTCTGCGGCAACCTACCGTTCCTTGGTACTGCTGATGTCGCTGGCGAGTTCCCCACTGCCGGTATTGGTGAAATCCTCTACGGCTGCGGAAACGGTGCCGTTGGTATTACCCGCGAGGGTGGACTCGGCTATGGAGGCTACGGCGGATGCGGATGTGGCTGCGGCTACTGAACAAATTGTCAACACGACGCTTGTCCTTTTATAATCTGAACACTCAAAATATATTTCACTCCAGCATCAAATTGTGTTTCAGTGTAATAATTTTGCCCCGTGTTGATACAGTACAGAGATAGAATATTACTTACTGTCATCGTGGTTTAAAGGATAAAATGCCCGGGGCACTCGAATCAAGCGATGCGACCACGCCGGTGCTCTAATATAAATTAGTATCCACATTGAACAAAAGTTATAATAATTTAAAGTGGTAAATTAAAAAGAGTAATTGAACATAAATCCGAAAATTTTAGAATTATTTTGTGTCTGACCTTTTGAACTACTAAAGAGTATAATATAAGCTTTGTTAAATTAAAATCGAATGAAATCAAAGAAGGTTTACTATTCCATATATTCTCAGACGTTGTTGCAACAAATAATAATAGCGAGATAGTAGTTCTGTTTATTACTTTTATTGCATGCAGCAGTTTTTGTTACCATATTCCTTTCACTTAATCTCTTTGACGGTAAATTTAGTAATGTCTCAGATTATATACCTTTTATTAGCGGTTTCAAACAAGAATTTATAACAGCACATCTTGGGGGAACGCGAAGAGTGTATTTGGGTGAATTGTTCTATTTTGTTAATTTAGTATTTCATCAAGTTTGTTAGCATCTGTGGAAGTGCACAAATGAGTGAAAACTAAACCAGACCGCTGCACGCGGCTTCTTGGGTTTTTTCAAAAACACCGCCTTACTGATTATTTATTTTATCTGATCTCATCTCGCTTCATTTATTTTTCCCAATCGATTGACAAATAAGTCATAGTGATTGAAGATTTTCGTGAAACCGAAACTGGCAACAATAGAGTCGCACTGAGCCAATAGCCATGCTTAAAAAACGAAGTAGAAGAAACTCGTTGATCTTCTGCAATATCGCAACTAGATGGCGCCATCGCTCTAGTTCGATTATTAATCGCTAAGTTATCGAACGTGATTTAAAAATCTATTAACCTAATTCAATTTCAATGTAATTCAATTTCAATTTCAATTTTTTACTGGTGGTAGGACCTCTTGTAAGTCCGCGCGGGTGGGTACCACCGCCCTGCCTATTTCTGCCGTGAAGCAGTAGTGCGTTTCGGTTTGAAGAGTGAGGCAGCCGTTGTAACTATACGTGAGACCTTAAAACTTATATCTCAAGGTGGGTGGCGCATTTACGTCGTAGATGTCTATGGGCTCCAGTAACCACTTAACACCAGGTGGGCTGTGAGCTCGTCCACCCATTTAAGCAATAAAAAAAAAGTATTGTTAAAGAAAAAATTATATCACTTTAAGGAGAAACAAAAAGTAAGCACCCTCAGAAACAACCTACACATTCACACTAAGACAGCCGGTCACCGTGGGGGAATAAGAACAAGAAATAGAAAAAGAAACGGATAAGAACAAGAAACCAATAGAATTAGCTATTGAAAATAATATAGTCAATTCAAAAAAATAACTTCCAATAGATGGACATGGATATCGCCAGATGGTCGGTACAGAAACGACATAGACTGCATCTTAACGATCAGACCCAAATTTTTTGACGACTGCGGCAACATCACAAATATTATTTTAATAGTAACCGTAGAATGCTTAGAACACATCTGAATACATCATCAGCTTTAAAACCAAGCCGGCCCTTCAAAGCGATAACAATAATAATACAAAATAACGAAATAATAACTGCTTAGCTACTATAAAATAGAATCTCAACTCTGTGACAGAATCATCTCTAAAACATTCAAGAACGCAACAGAAATATAATACGATGCAAGAAATACTAACAGCATGACCGAATTCAATATTGAAGGCGAATCAAACATTAAGAGAAAAATACCAGAAAAATCCATCGAACTCCTAGAAAAAATATCAAAATTAATCAGTACCACAAATAAAACAAAAACAATCAGAGATGAAATAGGAATTTTAATAGCGGTCAAAAAAATGGAAACTTGACCTCAAATGGGGAAGTGATTTTCACGTTCTGGCGGCTATAGGTTAAGTACTAATACGGAAGTACGCCCTATAAGACAAGCAATGAGTCCGTCTGCCCATGAATAGGAAATACACTGTACCTTGAGTAATGAATAACCAATGATTTTAGAAACTGCGAAAAATAATAGACAAAGTTTTGATGCCAAGCGAACTGTTTATTACTTTGATCAGGTTATTTGGATTTCAAGCTTTTGTCATTGATTTATTCTCATTAATAACCACCCCATCCGCAGCCGCAAGTCGGGGCGCAATGTCCGCAGATAGAGACGCAGCCGCCAGCGCAGGCGGGACCTCCGAACTCGACACCACCGATGATGGGCACGCGGCCGCCGACAGCGGTGACACCACCGACGGGCAGCTCACCGGCGACACCCACATTACCAATGCCCTCGCCGCCATAGCCACCGTAACCACCGCCGTATCCGCCATAGCCATATCCGCCGCCATATCCACCCAAGCCGTAGCCGAGTCCGTAGCCGCCCAGGCCGCCTCCACAGCCGCAGCCTCCCAGACCTCTACCCAGGCACTGTCCATACACGTTCTGAGACAGTTACACAGATTAAAACTTTGAAAATAATTGCATAACTACTACATCAAATAACACCGAGAAAGTTACAGAGTACATTTCGTTATGTAAAATTTACCTTAAATAGAAAACAAATGAAATACTTACTTGGATCAGGCAAGCCTGAACGCAGAGGAGGAGGAAAGCGAAGGTGGACATGTTGCAATGTATTCAGACACTTGATCTAGAATGTTTCCAACTACAGAACATCCACCTTATATAGCAGCCGAGGGTCGTGGTCACCTTCGGATAACAGAATTTCATAATGAAAAGTTGTGAAACTAGAGTAATCTTTACTGCGTTCAAGTATTTTTAGTTTATTTCAAAATTACACGAAAATCACTATTGATTCAGAAGGTTACAATTTGGAAATCCTCAAAAGCACGTCAATAATTCATTATGATAAATTTACGAGAGCGATAGGAAATAGTTGTGTATAAAAGCTGAGTAGTTCAAGTGAACTCATTCTGAAGTCATTCAGTGAAACAACCATGGCCGCTAAACTCATTCTCTTCGTCTGCGCCACCGCCTCTGTGGCTCAGGTACGTCTTTACAATTAAAACTTACATTTAATGTAAATTGCATTCTAATATTAAAAACTCCATAGAGCAAACAGCTGCTCGCTTTGCCGATATTTCGAATAAGTAGGTACCTAATAATAATATTAATATAATATTGAATTACTTCACATTGTTCACAGTCCGTTTTGGGCATCGGTTGTGGTTGTGGAGGTCGTGGCTACGGGGGTCTGGGCTTTGGTGGTTTGGGCTATGGTGGTCTGGGCTACGGGGGCTATGGAGGTGGATGCGGCGTGGTTTCAGCGGTGGTGGTCTCCCTGTAGCTACTGCCTCTGCTGCTCCCACTGGTCTGGGTGTAGCTTCTGAGAACAGGTACGAAGGTACCGTCGGTGTGGTCGCGGCAACCTGCCGTTCCTTGGTACTGTGATGTCGCTGGCGAGTTCCCCACCGCCGGTATTGGTGAAATCCTCTACGGCTGCGGAAACGGTGCCGTTGGTATTACCCGCGAGGGTGGACTCGGTATGGAGCTGGCTACGGAGGCGGCTACGGTCTTGGCTATGGAGGCTACGGAGGCGGCTACGGTCT